GCGCCGCGGTCGGGCAGCGCCTGCCTGCGCCGCAGCCCCGGGAGCCGCCCCCGCGCGCGGTCCCGCACGGGGCGCGACCCGCGCAGCTCGCCGGGCCGGGGGGTCCGCGGCGGCCCCGCTTGCACAGGCCGGGSAGGGGAGCACCCCGGGAAGGGCCGCGAGACATTCCTGGCATTCCCGGCCCTGCTCCTGGCTCCCCCTCGGGGCAGAACAAAATCCCAGTGCTGGAGATGGGGGGAAACCCCGAGAGATGGGGRGACGCTCCGAGAGAGGGGGAAACAGCCAGAGCTTGTGAGCACTACCCGCCATCGCCGATCTCCTCCCCCAGCTTTTTCCTGGAATTTAGGCATTGGATCATTTGAAACTAAGTCCAGAGAACAAATTAAGGTTAAAGTTTGGAATCTTTACAATACGACACATCTGCAGCAGTAATAAGCACATAACGCCTGCACACACGCAAGGTAAAGAGTTACAGAGYAGCTGATGTGTTTCCTCGCCATCTAAATCACACGCCACAAAAGTCAGCAGGTCCCATGGGCACAACGCGATTTGGCGTTTTGCCACGCAGCCTTTTGAAAATATTTGCATTCTTTAAGGACACATATTGGGAAACGGTCTGTGCACAAGCTTCAGGAGAGGATGAACCCCTTCCCGGCCGCATTCGGGCAGGGAAGCAGGAGGGGCGCGTGGTGCCGAGGAGCCGCGGGTGCCGCATTTTCCATAACTGTGTCCCCAATCTGCAAGGTTATAGTCAAGCAAAAATATTGTATTTGAGTGATATATATGTTCGCCTCATGGTCAGACGGGCTGCCCACAAGGGCTGTGGATCCCCTTTGGGGGTATTTGGCAATCAGCTGAGCACCCCGCACTGCTTCCCCTGGGGTCAGGGTGACAGACAATGACCTCTGGCATCCAGCCTGAGTTGTTCCTCTTTAAACCTTCCCTCATTTCGGAGCTGCCGTCCTCCCTGAGGCATGGATGTAAAGAACRAACTCCAATTGAACGCACAGTGGTGGTGATTTCTGTGGTAAAATCCTACAGAGACACCACAGCCCAACTGCACTGACCTTGCTGAGATGCTATCAGGTGGTTGGCTGCCCCACCAGCAAATGTGCATCCAAAGGAAAGGCAAACAGATGAAATCTCAAGAAAACTCTGCCCCGTTAAAAAGCACTGGAAAGATGCAAAATAACTATGGGTGAGCTCTGTACTTCTAAAAGGAAAAAAATCTAACACAACAATTTAAAAMTGAGCAAATAGAACAACTCTAAATCTACATTGACTGTGATGTTTACATGTCCAGGTTTCCAACATATTGTTTATGGTAAATCAGATTCCTTTTGGCCTACTTGTGCTTTGGATTATCTTAATTATTTCATTAAAAAAAAATCCTTTTTTTTCCCCTGTATTTAAAGAGACTTTATTTAGCATTTAGCCAATTTCTATTTTTAGATATCATTTCTGGAATGTTTTGGTGCTTGATTTTTTTTTAAGCGATTAAAACAATATTATTAGGAAGTACTAGCCAGAGTAAGGTCTATTTATCTCCAGTTTGCAGTGCTGCATCCTCACTATTCTCCCATGAGAATTATCTATGGACATGACAGAAAATTCAACATCATTTTCTTTTCCATGCTGCTTCACACAGTATTTTATTCATTCATTTATTCATGTTCAGTAGGTTTTTAAATGTTAGTTTAAGCATTTAGATTACTCCTCTATGCAATAGGCACACAGGAAATAGCTCAGTGAAAAGCTGCCAATATTTGAGTCTATAAACACAGTTTGATCTGTATCTTAAAAAATTGTTTCCATTCCAAACTGTGGTTACAAAGCACTTTTTCTTGTTGGCAGTTAAGATTTTTTTTTTTTTTATCCCTATGCATCCTGTATTTGTTCAACAGAATTGGCACTGATCGTGTGCATATAAAATAATCCTGCATATAAAATAGCAGAGGATCTGGCTGGAACTAACCTGAGCGAATGGAGTAAGAGTCAAAGCTGCACTTTTGTTTTCCACTCGCTCGTGTTGTTCAGGTGTCGCAAATGACCCGGTCCAGGACGTGATCCATTTTACTGGGCCTTCTACGAAAAGTAAAAGCTACTGTACCAGACTGGGAACAGAGCTTTGCACCAGCCTGAAGAGACTTAGTAGGAGACTGAAAATATTTAGKACAGGTTAAGCACAGTATGACTTTAAACCAATAGAGCAGTTATTTTTTCTGCAGGTACAGAAAGGAAGGTTTTAATCTCTATTTTCATTAACACAGTACAGAGCGAKATTTTGCCAACATGAGAATTGTAAATGCTGCCACAAGCAAGGAAAGTCAAATTTAAGTGAAAAAAATAAAATAAAAGCCTTGGTGAGGGTATCTCTGGCAAAGAAGGTAGCAATACATAGGTAGCAATATTGTGGTAATGATATACCTGAACAATGAAGTTACCAAGTTAAGTACTCCTTATAAAAGCCTGACAAATTACCTTTTACAACCTTGCTGACAGTTTCAGAGATGAGGTCTGCCTCAGCAAATACATTCAGGATGGACTCTTAAAGTGCAGGCATTCATTCCTGTTCACATTCACTGTTCTTGAAGCGCTCTCTTATTCATCCCTATAGTATATAAAGCATTAAAATACATTTCCGAAATTAAAAGTGAGCATCAACATAGGACGTAAATATGCAAACATCTATTTATTCAATGAAATTTGTTCATGTAAGTAAAACTAAAAGCATCTGGAAACATCCTCTTTCATCAGAGCCTAGCGAACTGGTATCTTTATTCTCTCAAGATCCATCACAGGCAGAGGGATAAAGTGGGAACTATGTGATTTAAGTGGAGCTGATGACAGCTGGAAGCTGGAAGCATTCAGAGGACCCAGTAAAATCCATGAGCACAGTTTTTTTGAAAGTATCTGCCTTCCTGTCATCAAAACACACAGAAATTAAAGCCCATGAAATTCTACCAGACACCACAAAGCTAAGAGCCTTCAGCTTTATCTCCAGCCTGCCAAAAACTGGTCTTGCTGAGAGGCAGACCTCCCTGCAGTCATCCATAGCCTTGCTACCCGGCTCTTATTTTCAATTGACCAGGAGAGGCATCCAAGAGGCTCAGGCAGTCCAAAATACAGCTATGTTTTTTCTGGCATTGCTGGTCTAGGAGAATGGGGAAGAAGTGGAATTTTTGCTGCCTGTTGCAGCCTCACTCTCTTTCTGATGATATTCAGCTATTAATTCAAATTAGATTAAATGTCACATTTGTGAATCTCGCCCCTCTTCAAGAGCTGAATGTGTACAGTTCGAGTTGTGCCCTGTAGCACCGTGTCTGCAGTTCATTTTGTACAGGACTGCCAGGRTGCCAGGGTGCATTTAGGCCCCAGCTAGGGCCCACGTGCTGCCTCTTTCACRGTGTGTATGGTTGTTTCACGACCATGATCCTGTACATTGCAAAGCCAGAAAGCAGAACAAAACGCCAGGGAAACCCAGCACRCTACCTCAGGCTGCCGAGATACCTATGAAACTTTAATGTGTTTTTCTATATTTGAAATACTCATTTCTTTCTCCATTGTGTGTGCATCAAAAGGAGCAAGCAGAGAAGATGAGATGAAGAAACTATTAAAAATGAAGTCTGTGCAAGCATTAGCGTGCTCATGCCTAGCTTGTTTGCAGGGTTTGAACAAGGTTGCTTCGGTACAGTGACTCAGAACTAGAAAAACATTCTTGTACAGCTATCCAGGTGAACCTTGCAGATATTTTTTTGCACCTCCTGAAGTGCATCTATGATATGGAAAAATGCATTTTACAAAAAAATTTCCTGTTTAGGCCAGCAACTCTGGAGCGCATGTTTTGACCTGATGGGTTTTCTTGCATCGTAAAGTCAGCAACAAGCCAGAGAAAAGTTAAGTGCTTGATCCTACTGGCTCAGAAAGGGAAATTCCCTCATGTGCAAACCTGCCAGGGCTGCTGCTTGCTCTCTGCTGACAGCTTGCTCCCAGACTCACATTCCTGGATAACAAGGAGTGACAGAAAGTGCWGCAGCTGATGGGAAGGCAGCACAGACAAGCTTCCTTCGACTGGCAACTTCCATTAGAGCGTTTAGTCACTCCGGAAAACAGCAGCATCTGAAAAACAGAGGTRAAAAATACAGTAACAGTCTCGTTTGGGCTTCCTTAACTACACATCTTGTTTGTTCATATTTAGGTCAAGCTAGTTTTAAATATCTCCAGTTACACTGGCCTGCTATTACTTCAACTGTTTARCTGATCATACAGTTTGGGAGTATTTCTAAAAATGTAACCCATTAGGCAGTCCCCTCTTCTGTACAGTCATGCCTTGTGAGACATATTGGCATAAAGCCCTGCTAGTGCCCAGGGCTTGCTTAGTGTTCACACTTGTACAAACCTCTCCCCAGCTTCTCGGGGCTGGGTACTGTCAGACTCGAGCTCTGTTTCGCTTTAAACTGAGTGACATTTGCCTGCCTCCAAGGGCACTGCAAGGCCGAGGGCAGTGCCCCAGTTCAAGGTCACCCCTTCCCTGGGCCACAAGCTGGAGCTCCTACCTGGTAAAGCCCCGTGCAGACAGTGACCCTGCAGTTTGCCCAGCCAAGTGCTCGGCTCCTCCACTGTCACTGTTTAAAAAAACCTACACCCAGCATGGAAGTGCTGACAGCTGCCCAAATCCCCCTGCTCCCAAGGGGCAGGGATCCTACAGCTCTACACATATCTTAAATGCCACCACATCTTTGTTGACATGAAGTACGTGTCACTGCATAAAACATACATCAAGCTCAGATAGACTGAAGAGCGGGATTATAAAAGAACACCTTCTTTTTGCTCAACAGCAAACAGAATAGGTTAAAAAAAATCATGCCAATGGAGTTTGCTCTCAATAATATTTGAGGAGATGACAGTATGCAGTAATTGCATTAAATAACGTAACTAACAGAATATATATTATACACTAAGTATTAACAATGTGTAAGTCAGCTRTGTTGCCCAGGCTCCCCTACAAATCCCAAGTTACTCGTCTGCAGTCGCTGCCCAAAAGCTATACAGACTGTATAGTCGTACACCTTGCACCATATAATATATAGCTATAAACCTGCTGTGTAGTTTTCACTGCTGCTGTCAGAGCAGAGCGCGGCCCTCCGTGGCTCCCAGCCTCGTCCAGCCCCAGGGGAAGGTGACAGGGGATGCGGGCACAGCCACCGCCTGTCCGTCCTGAGGGGCTTCCAGCAATATCATATGGACAATAAAACAGATATTTAAACAAGTTAATCTTTTAAATAATTAAAAACAGTTCTCTTTTCACT